CTAATTCAACAAACTACTCCACAATCAGTGGTATGGGAGCTTCTTCGGGCAGCCAGAGAAACCGCCTACGGCTGCCATTCCCGAGCTTGCAATGCTAAAGAACCATCTCCCACGGAAGTACAATAGTCACCGAATCAGATCCGCCGCCTCTATTCGACACCGAATCACCGTTGGTGCTTTTAGCATGGTTGTCCCCTACCTTAGTTTGGAGCCGTTCCAAGACCTGTCGAGCAATACCGGAGAACACCATAACACAAACTTCTTATGTGAGAACCAAGTAAACACCTTGCCACAAAGTCTAAAAGACCGAGGACGCGGAAGTCTTCGCTGCCGGCAGAGACCACCACCCACTACCGTGAGTAGAACCCACCTCAGAACTCAGCACCAGAACAACGACATGGCCGTTGATGGAGCCAACAAAAGCACCCATCAACAAGCTAAACTTTCAACCCGAGAAACAAAAGATCTAACTAACCCCTCACCAACAATGACAAGGAAGAGACGCGGAAGACGTCGGAGTCTAGAACGACAGAAACCATCTTACCTCCACGCTGATAGGGACCCAAACCACAACTCTGATACACCCAAACCCGATACACCAAACCACGCTGACAGAAGCCAAAGACCACAACTCCGATACACCCAAATCCGACGATGACTGGAACTTAGCTAAAACGGTGGAGAGGCTCCGTTACACGTCAAGACATAGCCCACAGTTTTTCCAGAGCCCAGGCGTGGTCGCCGAACACACACAAAGAAAGATGTCAAAACTTGCAGATCTAGCACCTAACTCGTGAATCTCGACGAAACCGAACCACAATCGAGATCCCATCTGAAGCCGCCAACGCCACACGCCTTGACCTGAAACAAACCACCACCACGGCACACCGAAGCCGCAACACCAAACCCATCGAGAAGACCCAAGCAATGGAGGCGTCTACACCTTAATCATCGAGACATGAAGGGGAAGCTTTGTTATTCAACAGAGAAGAAGAAAATAATGGGAGAGACCGACGCCGGAGCCAAGGAGATCACCGGCCGCCGACCTAGATCTGGAATTTTGGTTGAAAATTTGGCTGCGGCGAATAGGTTT